CCCCAAAACCCCAAAACCCCAAAACCCCAGCTCGCGATTAGATAATAGAAAATAATTAAATTAGATATGTACCCAAACATCAATATGACTACTTCACCAGGTATCTCATTTTTCTCGAATTCTTTCAGATTTACTTTGAACTGAGCAGAGGTTGAGCTAATTAGGCTCTGCCCACTAATTATTTCAACTATCCAGACATTCTGATTGTGAAAATCTAATATATGTTTAGGAACTTACCCAGGAATCTCAATGTTTACAGGACAAGAACCAACACTTCATCCACTGAACACAGTTGCAAGATCTCTTGGAAACCTCCAAGACTTGCAAAGCCTTCTCAGTGGCTATTGAGTCTGTGACATGCAGTTGCAGACAGGAATGGCACAGCCAGAGCAATGGGGGATCCCTCAGCAATACATCCACCCAGGCCTCGACTCCAAGGTAAGACTCGCTTTGTGATGACCTGTCGAAATCAGGTTTACGAGTGAAAACAGTGACTCTCATTATAAATTGGGTCAAAACTTAGGAGTTTAGTTACCTTGATAATGCAAAAGTTTTATAATGTGAAGATGCATATAGTGAGCCTTACAATCATCTAGAAGCGTTTCCTGGTCTTTATTAGCGACTATAAACTTATACCCGTATTGTAAACTACTAGTTTAAATTATGATAACCAATGACAGCAATCAGATTGTCACTCTCCGAGTCCATAGTGCTTGATAGATCAAATTAAGGGTCGATTCTGTTTTCATTCGTGTGAATATTACCAAATTCATATTCTCAGCTCTTCAGTCATCCAATTTATTAGAAGATAATTTGAATGTCATCCATCTCTGGCTAAGTTTAGTGGTTATTACTTTCAGAATAAAAAAGGATTAGATTGTCACTTATACTTTTTGTTACTAATCGAATTAACTCTAATACCAAAATGAAGTTTTACAAGCATCCATTCATGGTTTATTTGCTTCATCTTTTTTGATATGGATATGCACTAATTTAGTAATGGTTGATATAAGACCTTCTGGATAAACCACAATATGGCCATTCTCTTTTGTTAGCCTAGTATTTTCTTTCCTGTGCTATTCCTATTCGCCAGACCTATGAAGAGACGAATTAGAGTATTCATCGCTTCCATGCTAAGAAGGCCTAGTTAGCTTTTCTCTATTTGAGCATATATTTTTATGAAGTTTACCATTTTTAAACCAACAATTTTGAAAATTAGGAAGCCGAATGAATTTAGTATTATTACACTTCTAATCGTGTTTCTGAATAATTATAATTCAGGAGAGGAAACATTAGACAGTCATTTTGAGTCTTGTCATGACTTATCAGACTCTCAGCTCAAAGTTCTTATAATGGTAGTGCAGGCCTTCAGGGTTATTAGTTTTCTAAGGAAGCCTAGTTCATATTCTTTTTAGTTAAGCCTTCAAGACTCTTCCCTGTACTTCTCTGAATGATGGTCTATGATAACAAGTCAACTTGCTGTCTTGGCTGGTGAAGCCTAGGTTATAAAATATCTGGTGACAGTTTCTTATCAAAATATATTTTAGGGAATAATAGAGTTTGCTTGTTATTTCAAAAGTTGTATTTCCAAGTAAAAATTTTATTTGGTTATTAGAAACATTAACTTTATCATTATTAACAATTAGCTAAACTTGAAAAGCTTCTTTCGATTTTATACTGAAATTATGCCTCTCCAATTAATACGAGCATGAAGTAGTGTTTACTTATTGTTAGAACTGAGCAGCTCTTCTCACTAATATTCTTAATGATTATGAAAGAAAATTTAATAAATAGTGAGTTTTAAAGTTATTAGCATCAACCATAAGAGTTCAGAGCTGAGGCTTAAAACTTTTGTGAAAAATGTTAATGACTCCTAAAATTTTGTTGTCTTCTGACTCCAGAGGTTTCACGAAGTTAATTATACACATATTGGAGAACCTTTTGGCCCTAGGGTAAAAAGAGACTTTGTGGATGGACTATTTATAAAGGAGCCACTCTCACGAGATAACTCCAACTGTTTCTTGTTTCTGTGTTTAGAAATTCAAAATCTTTGTTTTCAAGTAAAAGTAACATCGACTTTGGTTTAAAAAGTTACTGAATATTATTAATTCGAACAGAAATTTTGAATAATTTTAATCGAGCTTGCAAAGAAAACACTGACCTTTAAACAAATTAGTATCTTTAAATGCCCTCAGAGACTTAGTATGACCAAATGAGCTTCTTTAGTTCAATAAGGCTTCTTGTTATTGAAACCAACGTTTGAAATACCACTGTTAGCTTGTTTGTGCTAAAGAGTTCGGACTTAAAAATAGTATGAGCAAAAATTATTGAATGTTGTTTTAATTTCTTTCATGAAAGATGCCCTTGCTCTAGTGATAAAATTATTGAAATGCAAGCAAGCATCAGAGATTCTTGATTTTAAAATATGTACTTTTGTTCAGCAAAATGGTGGAACAAGTGAACAGTTTCAACAATAGAGTAATTGATTCATTAAGGGACAAGAATATTTAGCCTTTGTTGCTCTATTTTATCAATAACTAGATATGAGGAATTTAAGACCTTGCAGTTTTGAAAGAAAAAGCTTATCAAAAATGTAGTTCTCTTTCTTTCTGAAGTGATGTCTTTGGTACAAATAGAAAGAATCTTATTATGACTATTTCTAACTGAGTGTAACAAAATGTGCTATGATTACTAATTAGTGCTCTCTCTTTTGATAAAGAGCAACCTGAAAGTTTATTGAGTTTGGAATAGCCTCAATTTCTTCTTTTGTTTATCTAAACTCATATAGAGACTCGAAGAGAACAGAGTTGACCCCAAAATCCTCTCTCTCTACTCCAACATCAAAGACAACAAGTCCAAGAGTAAGTGCTTTCAGCCTTCAAGTTCTTCTCCTCGGTTGTCTAACTGAGTCTAGCCGTGAGTGCAAAGGCCGACAAAGTGTTCATGTGTTCATTCGGCAACTGCAGAAAAGTCTTCTACAAAAAGTGGAACTTCAGCCTCCACATGAAGATGCACTACAAGATCAAACAGTTCAAGTGCCAGGCATGCGGGAAAGAGTTCACTCAGAAGTGCAACTACAACAAGCACATGAAGACACACAGTCGTCCTTAATTCCTAAAATTTCAATCAACTTTGTTCTTGGGTTGCTAAAAAAAGTCATTTTACAGTGAATTAGTAGGCTTCGAGTTCGTCAACTAATTATTATCCTAGTGAACTCGCTTAGATGCAGGAGGTCTGTACGACCTGGGGATTTCATAGATATCTTCATATATAACTCTTTCCTAATTAAAAGCTAAATTTGCGTGTTTGAGTAGGAAAAAGCGAATATTTCATACTATTTTGTATCAATCAGTCTGAGGTTAATGAAGATGCAGTAGCATAAATTAAAAACTTCAGTTTCTGAAGGCACACTGAAAATTCTTCTCTTTTCCTCTTCTCCTTATCTTTTTCTTCTCTAATTCTCCATTTCAGCAAAGGAGTCTCCTAATTTTAGTTGAACTCAAACTTTCATAGAATGATGTGGTTTACCAACATGCTAGATGAAGAAGCTTAAGAGCATTAAGTCATTTCTCAATAGCCTCAGCGTTTCTAGTGCACTTTAAGACTTATCCATCATCAAATTCTTTTCTAGAGAAGACTAAGAGCTTCTTTAATAATTAGTTGATCACCTTCATTTCTACATCTTTTACGCCTTCATTCCATGATATGTTATACAGGAATTGTTGAATTTTACCTTGGAAAAATAGCTAATAATCTCAAGAAGAAAGCTGGGAAATGAATGCAAACAGTATCAAAAGTGTCAAATTACCATCCTATGGCTTTAACAAAGAGAAATCTTTTCATCTGCTGTCAGCTTCAAATGAGGCGGGCAACTTTTGGTTCTAAGTTTTCCAAGAATATGGAAGAAATATGAAATCATATTTGATTCATGAGCAAGGTTGAACTGTTGAAGAAGTCTTCTAAAAAACGCCAGATAGAGCAAATCGAATTATATATCGATATAAAAGCCATTTATAAGCTTTGGTGGTACAATATTTTCTCAAGAGCTTTAGGATTTAAGAGAAGAGTCGCATTTTTAATGGATTTTCAGTATCGATTATTGAATTTTCTCAGAAATTCAAATTAAATTAAATATACTCTTGTTTAAAAGCTAGCGATATTCTGCTGCTTATGAGATAGATCTTGCCTTATGAGAATTTTTATTGCATATTTCATATTTAAAGTTCCCTTCAAAAGTACTAGTTTGTCGATTTTTAAGATTACCATAAAGCTCTTCTAATACTACGAAACTCATTGTTAATTCAGGTTTATCCTTTTAAACCTTAAACAAACCCTCTTTACCAAGCCTTCATCTTTGCTTCACTCATGCACAGCATCTATTTTCATCCTTATTTCTCTTCCTTCACCCACACCCCCCCAACTTCTACTCATCCAGCGTTTCTCTAAATTCTTGCCCTACTTTTCCAACCAACATATAGTTGGGTTTAAAGAGATCTTATATAGGGCTTAGACTTGAGGTAAGCTAAGAGATATTGGTTATGTTAGTATTTGTTGGTAAAGATATGGATGATAAATTAGTTTATTGGTTTTATCAAAGATTTGCTTCCATCTTGCTTTTCAGTTGCATATTTAATAAATTATTTAAGCTTCACTCTGAACTGGATTTCTCAAAGTTTCTAAACTTTTACAATACGATTTTTTTGTTCTTCTAAGATTTAAATAACATTCATAAAGAAAGAGAGTTGTAAGAAAAGTTATCAAGCCACACCTTCACAAGGCTTAGAAAAATAAAGACTCGCTTTTGTTCTCATTGGTGGAATCATCCGTTTCCATCTTCAAGAGGTACTTTGCGAAGCAGATATCTAACTAATTCCAAGTCTATTTCTCAAAGAAATAAAAGAAATAAATAAGATCAAAGAGCCCCATAATTACACCCCTCCAATAAAACCTTAAGAAGCCACTAACACAAGTGTATGTTTGAAGAGATAAGACCAACAAAACAATTTTTCAAAAACAAATACCCAAGTCCAAACACCCCCCTATCCCACCTCCAACCTCCCCAATTCCACCCTCTAGCACCCCCTTCCCACCCTGTCCTCATACAACTCCTCTTCCCCCTCCTTTCACATCCAATGTCTCCCTTCCCCCTCTGAACAGCACCTTCCTCTTGGTTTCAACTCCATTTTCCCATTTCGGGGTTTTGGGGTTTTGGGGTTTTGGGGTTTTGGGG